ATATAGTAAATGTGCACAGTACATTACCGGCCGCAAAGTTTTACCTCAACGCGGATCCCCTGGGAATGGTACTCAGACCAATTCTGAGGCAGGGAGGGTAGGAAACATTGTCGCATTGCATAGATGAGGAAACTGAAGCTAGATGGGAGTCCAGCAACTCGTCTGAGGTCACTAAGCTCAAAGTCACAGAGCCAGGACAATCTATCTAAATGTCATAACTTTCGGTGCCCTCCTCCGCTGAGTCACATGGGCAAGGATGTCCTTTTGCCTCTTATACTCAAGGAGGCTTCTGCCCCTCCTCCGCCCTAACGTGGAGTGGAATGAAGTTCAGAAAAAGGGAAGACAAAAGCAAGACGTGGAGAAGGGGAAGAGGGCAGCAAAAGTGCGGATCTGCTAAAGTTGGATTTTCAAGAATGAAAAGTGCGTATGGGAGAGTCTTGGGATCCTTCCTTCCCAAACATATTCCTTTTGGCCTCGGCTGTTACTAGACTCAACATCGGAGCTTGCCCTGACTCCAAACAAGCAAAGGGTGCAAGGAAAGACCTGTCTCACTGGCTCCTCTTGGAGGTAGAGTTATATTCAGGTCCAGAGTGAGCATTTTGGGGACACATTATTTGATCAAAAGCTATTTTATGGGAAATTCTTTGATGGAAGAGAAGGCATTCCTAAGCTCATGGATGGTGGTGTTGGTAGAAGCATCACAGGCAGGAGAAGCGATTTTGTGTTCAGAATATGGGTCTATTTCAGCGAGGGCACAGGGCTGCACCAACTCCTGATTGGAAAGCCCAATGTTAATCAACTTGCCACCAGGTGGCTGGGTGGTCCCTCAGGGAAAGTGCCACAAGGGGTGGGGGGCACAGCATCGGTCTCTGCCGTTTGCAGGTCAGACATGCTGCTGTCCTGACACCACCAGAATATTCACAGAGGGGATTTCTGTGCAACAAGATGACAAATTATTATCACTGCCTTTTGGCTGATTTACATTTCATAATTTCTCTACAACTATTTTGCATTTCTCATGCAACAGGTAATAAAAGTGAATTTTAAAATGGTCTAAGACGGTTACTTAATGTGTTTTGGGAACAGAATGAGAGGGTGGGCAGGACCACCATTAGCATATGCCTGTGAACTTGAGACTCTGTCCTGCTCATTTGAAGACAGTTATAATAACCACCACCGAATATCATCTCATCACTAGAGGTTTACAACCCTGGAAAGGAGGATTTATAGAGGCAGAAATGGGCTCAGAGAAAGCTCTCTCCTCTCTCTTTTTCCTCATTCCCAGGAAGCGCCCCTCCTGCAAGGGAGAGAGAGCTCATCTGCACAACTCATCTGCACAACTCATCTGTACATTGAAATAAAGACCAGCTAAAGTGAAAAGAAAAAAACAAAAGTAAAGGTATGGAGGAAGGGAAGCAGTGGCAAACTTGAGGATTAGCAAGTGGCTGGGTTTTCAATGTTACACTCTGAGCTGGGACTCAGCTGGGAGGGGAGCGCTGTGTTGTTTGCACTGCAGCCCCCAGCCTGCGCCTTGCTGACACTCTGTCACTAACTCTCCGCCCTAGTGCCACGTTCTGCTGGCACTTGAGGCTTTCAGGGACTTTAGGCCTCAGAGAAGTTTCCTTCCCATGGGTTATAGGACGCTTGATTTCCTTCAGCTGGAACCTGTGCTGCAGAGTGCTATGATTAAATAGTCCCTTAAGTGATACTCAGTGCACACCCCGTTTTTCGTGACATTTTCAAAGTCTCTATTAGAAATCTAAACACCACTCTCCATTGGATTATAAAACCATTGCAACAAATCAATTTCCCAGACTCAACTACCTGGCAGTTTCCCTATCATTGGATTTAATTGGATCTGAGTTATGAATTTGATATTGACTTTACCTCATCCTGTATGGAGAAGCATGAAAACAAGCCCTGTACTTTATCTTAAAACATTAATATTTGACAGTCTGCAGCTCCCACCGAATAGAAGTCTCCTCACGTACCTGAGGATCCAACAGTCATTTTGCGAATCTGAACTTTTGATTAATTGCACTGTAATAAATTCTCATTTCTTCTTTCTATGTGGTCTTTGACACATCCTCTTTTATGTTTATCCAGTGAGGCCTGTTATGTTAAGTACCGTCACCATGTTTTGGTCATCATGTTTCTTAAGTTGCAAGGAGTACTAAGATGTCCTAAGAATAAAGACTTCCACGATGGTAGAACAAAACGAAACTCTGGTATACAAGCATACACTGAATGCTTAATTGTGTGCCAGGCGTTGTGCTAGGACCTTCACATGCTTCACTCACTTACTCATCATTTATTCATACTGTAAATAAATATCGAGAGCCTATATATGACAGGCACCTTTACGGGCTTCAGGGAGAGGATGCTTAGTCCCTGCTTTTGTTTAGTAAGATAACAGTAAATAAGTAAACAAAATGTGCATGTGATAATTTTTGGCAGTGATATAGGTTTGAGTGAATAAAACAGGAAGGGATTGAGGGGGAAGAACAGCTTTAGAAAAGGAGAGATCTATTTCCTGGGTGGCTGGGATGGGACTGGGACAGAAAGAGTATGTATGTGTTTGTTGTGCTGTGGATGGCAAGGCTAACAAGTGGGGTGCCCAGCTCCCACTTGGGGGTTGTCCAACCCTAGCAATTCCCTTTCCTTGGGCTTTTTCTCCTTTCCAGAGTTTTCCCTGACTAACCAGTTACTTACTTTGCTCCAAATCACTGCTGAGCATTAATCTATTCATAAACACACACGGGGTCCCACTGTGCAGGGAGCACTGTACTGGTCACATTTCCATGTGCTAATTCGTGTAACCCTCACAAAACCCATCCCACAGCCCATTGGCCAATGCACAATCTTTCTCCATCAGGTTGCTGTTGTGACTCCTCCTGCTTAATTAATTCACATACTAGAGTCAGTTTCTGGACAAACTATTCTGTTGCACGGAGCAGTTTATTTCTGTGCCAATACCACACTGTTTGAATGATCCCAGCCTTATAGTTTAACTTCCTTCTGGAAATGCCCCTCTTCTTGGTTCCAGGACTTCTGAGATTCTCCTCCCTGACAGTCCTTCTATACAGGTGGTCTTCCTAGGACCCCTCTCCCCTTCCTCATCCCATATACTCCCACTCCCTTCTCCCTTCCCTTCTGCTTTTCTTCTTTTCTCTTCCCTTCCCTTCTCTTCTCTCCTTTGTTCTCATTGGCCAATTGCTCCCGGCAAATCCAGAGCTGGTATTCTCGCAGGCTTCTGATTTCTCTTTGCTTGTAACTAGTAATGGGTCCTTGGCCTTGGGTCACAGCCCCTCCCCTCTACCCCACCTGCAGACATGAGGGGAGAGGCTGGGAGGAGGTACCAGGACCCACAGGACAGCAGAAGTGTAGGCTTCTCTCACGGCGGTGGTGATGGTGCAAGTGCAGGACATCCTTGTCTTTGCCACGGTTTATGAGATCCGGCCCCTGCCTAGTGACCTGCGGCCCCATCTTTCTCTGCTCTCATTAAGCTCCAGCCACTCTTCAGCTCCGCACTGGCTGTTCTGGACATTTACACAGTTGTATGCCACTTGTCATTCGGGTCTCACCTCAAACTGTCACATTCACAGTGAGGCCTTCCAGGACCAGCCATTTGAAGAAGCTCCCCCAAGCACTCTAGTATGTTCCCCACATGCTAGTCACCATTACTGGAAACGATACTGTTCAAGTTTGCCTTTTCCTGGTCTTCTACCTCTCACTAAAACGTTTGCAAGTTTTGTGAGTGCAGAGACCTCATATCCCCTGCATGGAGAACACAGCCCTTTACCACGGAAGCTCACTCGTGAGGCTTTAGTGACTGAATCCAAAATTTGAGCGAGAGAGGGCATAGCTTGCCTAGAGTCTAAGTTAGGAGGTAAGCAAGAACCGAGAATTCTGATTCTGTGCCTTCAGCCCTCTGTCCCCCCAAGCTCTCTGAGGTGCTATTCGAGGACCGGGGGAGGTGAGGGCAGCAGTATGCACCATAAACCACGAACCAAAGCGAGCACGGAGTCATGAGCGTTGCTACCACAGAGCGGGTGGGTTTGCGGTGCGTTCGGCCTTGGCCAAGCAGCAACTTGCGTTTTACCTCCGAAGCCAAGAAGCAAGGGTAAGAGGTGAGGAGAAAACGTAAAGCTGCAACCACAGGGCGAATGCGCGAGGGAGACAAACCCCCAGTTCGCGCTGCCCTCCCCTCTTTTCCCCTTCTCGCCCCGCCTGAGGGAAGCCCTAACGCCCACGGGAGCGCCGGGAGCCCCGCGCGGCAGCCAAACGCGCACGGCCCGGCTGCGACGGGGGCGGCGGCCCGGGCAATCCGGGGTCCCTCCTGCACGCAGGGGCTGGGGGCGGCGGGAAGAGGCGGGGCCCCGCCAGGGCCTCCCGCCGCGACGGGGCGTGACAATGGGGCCCCACCCCGGCGAAGGCGACGTGCGCTCGGGCCGCGGCGCGCTCGCTGCTGCCGCTGCGGGGCTGAGGCTGGAGCGGGCGGGGAGGGGCGCGGGTGGGAGCGCGGAGGAGGGAGGAGGAGGCGGCGGCGGCGGCGCGTGTGGCGGGCGGGAGGGCGGCTGGCACTGGGCTTGTAAATAAACTGCGATGCTGTCTCGGGCTCGCCGGCCCGGGTGCCGCCGCCGCCGCCGCCGCCCCGGAGCGCCGGTGCCAGGCTCCCGCCGCCGCGCGCCCTAGCGCCTCCGCGCCAGCCTCGCGCGCCCTCGCGGGCTCCTCGCAGCCCCCGGCCCGCGCCCCTCAGGGTCCTGCGTCTGACCCGCGAGGGATGTGACCTCCTGACCCCCCGCCTGGCCTCCCCTGCCCCCGGGGGCCCCTCCTTTGCCTGCTTTTGGGAAGGGGGTGGGTGGGGAGGGGCGCGCGGATCATGGCATTGGAGTTCCCGGGCTTCCAGCCGCCGCCGCCGCTTCGTCCACGCACCCCGAGCGCCCCTTCTTCCCCGAGAAGCAGCGGAGAAGGCGAAGCGGCCGGCGGGGGCGAGGCAGATGGGGCTCAAGGCGCGCAGGGCGGGGGCGGCTGGCGGCGGCGGCGACGGGGGCGGCGGAGGCGGCGGGGCCGCTAACCCGGCCGGGGGGGACGCGGCAGCGGCCGGCGATGAGGAGCGGAAAGTGGGGTTGGCGCCTGGCGACGTGGAGCAAGTCACCTTGGCGCTCGGGGCCGGAGCTGACAAAGACGGGACCCTGCTGCTGGAGGGCGGCGGCCGCGACGAGGGGCTGCGCAGGACCCCGCAGGGCATCGGGCTCCTGGCCAAGACCCCGCTGAGCCGCCCTGTCAAGAGGAACAACGCCAAGTACCGGCGCATCCAAACTTTGATCTACGACGCCCTCGAGAGACCGCGGGGCTGGGCGCTGCTCTACCACGCGCTGGTGTGAGTACCCGGCCGCTCGGGGCGCCCCTCGGCGGCGGCGCATGTTGGGGTTCGGGGACTGGGCTGGAGCTGAAGACGTCCCTGGGGCTTTAAAAGATGCTGTCCCGCTGAACTGGCGACCGGCCTGCCCTCAGTGCGTGTTTCTCTGTTGTGTGTCTATGAGCCGCTCTCCGGGGGTCGGACAGCGGAGCTTAAAAGAATCAAACGTGGTTTCCAAGCTAATTTGGAAATTGGATTGATGTGTGTGTGCGCGCAGGTGCGCATTTATGGCACCGTCTTGAGGTGTTGATTTCGAAGCTTGAAAGAATTATGTGGTTTTTCCAATTAATGTGGGGGTTGAACAGGATAAAGCGGGTCCAGCCATGAGCGCTGTGTTTCTGTTTGGGGTGGATCCCTTCTCTTGGGATCGCTACTGAGTTTAGATAATACATCCTGGAGTTGGGGATGGAAGTAGTGCGCACCACCCGTAGCGTGTGTGTGTGTCTGTGTGTGTGTGTCTGTGTGTGTGTCTAAGACTAGACTGAGGGGCTGGGACTTAACAGCACCAGGGGCTTGGCGGAGGGCGGGATTATTTGGGCTGAAACATCTCCATGATGTGGTTTCTCATATGCCCTCAGCCTCAACTGCAGCCCCTTCTCGCGCTCTGGCTGGGCAAGGGCACCAGGGATGCGAGGGGCCTGGCCTGGGGCACTGCTCCCCTAGAAAGAGTATCCTTGCTAGTCGGGATAAATGCATGGCCAGAGGGATGATGGAGCTCCTTCTGCAACTGACACTCGGTATGGAAGATCCACGCGTATTCGAAGAAGGGGAGAGGATGGTAGTGCAGCTCCTCACCCAGGACTGGATATCTGGGCTGTCAACACACACACCTCACGGGCTGGCAGGGCTGTACTGCTACCAGGTTTTGTCAGAGAATTGGCCATGACTCCCTCCTCCCCCCCTCCCAACCCTGATCTTCATGTGCCTTTAGCGGTGGATTTTCCTCTCTGTTCTTCAGCTGACGCATAACTGATACAATGGGAAGGGCTCCGGGGCCTTAGAGTTAGTTACACTACCTGCCAGTCTTCATTGGTTGCAAACGCTTTTCCAGATCCAGCCACCAGGTGGGGGAGTCCGCACGGGCCCTCATACTCAGCAACAGGTTTCTTCAGCAGAGGTTACAAAGCCTGAGAGGGTGCCTTCTCCAAACCCAGGAATCGGGAGAGGTGGTGCGGCGGTGGGGCATCCTGCCAGGAACATGGGTTTTGGTGTCTCAGTGTATGTGCATGCGTATTTGCAGTTGCTGGTGGGGATCTGGCTGGAGAGAGGGCTTAGCAATTGTTTCTCTTTCATTTGCTCTTTTTAGGTGGTAAAAAGGATTAAAAATCCATTCATGTCTCTGTTTCTAGCAGTGTGTTTAGTTAAATGGAAGTGAAGTTAATACTGGAACATGTGATAGTAAAAACAAAAGGCACAATGAGTTAGTCGAGTGCACACAAACGTGACACAGACTCGCGTCCTCTTGCACATCATGGTGTTCAGTACGTATCGACTGACCTGCAAGCGTGTGGGCTCCCTCCTCCTCCTCCTTTCACCCTTCCCAGCCAGCACCCACAGCCCTGCCGGCTCAGTCTGGGGAGGGGATAGCTAAGGGCTGTTATTGACCAAGCCTCGATTTTATCCTTCTCTGCAATTATTTCATCACCTGGAAGCAGCTTTGCTAATACCAAAGCCTATAGCCTCAGTTTCCCAGGACCCAGGAAAATTTAAAGGTTTGTGAGAAGGAAAAGTCAGATATGTAGCCAGGCGTGAGAAGGAAAAGTCAGATATGTAGCCAGGCACTTTCTTACGTTCAGATGCAAAACATACATATTTTGTTTAATTCACATGATCCTATGAAGTGGGAATTATTATCTCCATTTTATAGATGAAGATATCAAAATTTCGAGAGAGAAAAATCACTTGTCGATGATCACACAGCTAAACTTTCTGGAGCTTATATTTGAATACAGTGGGTCAGCTCTGTTTCTGAGCCCAGATCCCAGTTCTGATCCTCTGCCAACAATTGCCGGACATTGGATATTTTGCTAATTGTCACTGGGTGCCCCTTTCTCCATTGGTAATGCACGGCCCTTAGTAAGGCCTCAGCCTCTTCCAAGCTGTCAATTGGCCGATGGCTAGAAATGGGAGTTTGGAATCAAGTCAGGGGCCGGTCAGAACCCAGGGAACCACAGTGTTAGGGAAGTGTGGGATGACCTTGGGTGGTGGTGGGATTGCATATTCTGATTAGTTTGGAGTTGTACGGGAAAAGCCACGTTGGATTGGGATTGAGCTCCTATTACTGAAGCACACTTAGTTAGTGCATGCATCGTGCACCCTTTCACCAGCTTAGGAGGAAGTCCAGTCAAGTGAGGATGACTGAACCTTTCATTGATGAACCAGGATTTTGTAAGGCGTTGACATTCGTGCTTCTATGTATCCATTATCCTGCTCTGGGCTGGGGCTAGTGGCCCAAGGGGACCAGGAAATTTGGCTCACCATGGGCTTATAATCAAGTGCATGCTTTTTTTCTTTTTCTTAATGAATGAGATCCATGAGATGAGATAATTTTTTTCTCTTTTCTAAAGGTAAAATACAGGAAATGTGGAGATCAATCAAACCCCTACCCTGCTCCCTTTGCCTTTAATGTCCATCCTCTGCTTTTTCCTGGCCATTCACCTTCGCCTTGGCTGAGCTCCAGTGTCACCTCCTCCAGGAAGCCTTTCCTTGACCCTCCAGGCTAAGCTAGAGTTGCCCCTCTTCTGCAACTTCACCAGCCATAGCATTTTGCAGCTTGCATTGGGGTGATCTATTTGCTTGTCTACCCCAGTGAGCTGAAAGCTACCGAGAGCAAAGGCTGTGCTGTCCTTCTTTAGCCTTCTCTCTCCCTGGCAGACTGCAGAGCCCGAGGTAGGCACTAAGTAAGCATTTGCTGAATGGATTCTTTAAAGAATACTCTCAAGGTTCTGGTTAATCAGACTTTGCTGTGATAACTTTACTGTTATCATAGCAACAATAAGTAGCCAAAGTCAGCATTACAAGATTGTAATTATAAGAATAGTTCTTGGAAGTCCAGAAATGGGCTATGGGGGGAGGAAAAGATGGGAGACTATGCTTTAACTCCAGTGAGACTGATCAGTTCCCTGCTTTTTTTTTTCCTTATGGCTGAAAGAGATTCTGATTTTATGGAAAATATGCTAGACTTGGAGTTCACATCTGGAGTTAAGCCTTAAGTCTCTGTGATTTTGCACAGGCCAAGTTGGGGATGACTTGTAAGTTGGGTATTTTAATACTACACTGTCACAGGGTAATTTTTAGGCTCAAAGAAAATAGTGTACATGAATGCAATTAGCCCAACATCAGGCATGCAGTACTCATTAGTAGATTCTCAATAGGAATCTCCTTAAAAGTCATACATACCTGACACTGTGGCTGTCCTGAGGCTGTCCGGGGACTCCCCCTTCCTAGCCTGTTAGTGGAGAGATGCTGACTTCATCTTGGCATTCATCTGACTTGGCACTGAGCAGGCATCCCGCTGCCCTGACCATCTCGCCACAGCCAGCTGGGTATGATCAATCACTCTCCTGTTGACAAACCAAGGGGAAATGATCACAAGAAATCCCCACTGATTGCATTCTGAGGCAGGCTGGCTCTAGGGACATCTGGCAGGCAAGACTGGGTGGTGAGACGTAAGGACCCAGCAGCTGCTCTGAAACGTAAAGGTCCTGGCTGGTGGACTTAGCATGTTGATTAGGAGGGCCGCGGTCCCCACGGTGGAGAGCAGACACTGAACACTCACTCATCCTGTCAGTATTGCAGAGTCTTCCCAAGTTTGGAGTAAGAGAAGTTTGGGTTCCCAAATTTGCTTTGCCTCTTATAGCTAGTCTTGGGCAAATTGCTGATCTCTGAGCTTCAGTTTTTTCATCTGAACAATGTTATCAGTAAATTATAGGCTCTGTGAAGCTAAGAGCACCTTGCATAGAAGAAATGCTCTGTAATAGTTATTTGTGTTATTAATATCATTCAGATAATAGATATTTATTGAGTGCCTTTTCTGTGCCAGGCACTCTTCTAGATATTAGGGATATAGCAGCAAACAAAACAAAACAATCTCTGCCCAATGGAACATATACTCTAATGACAACATCATTAATTTTAGCAGAAATCTCAGAATTTGGTCATCTGGTCAACTTCCCAGCCAGAGCTGAAGGAATCCCTTCTGCAGTGTCTCAGCCAGTTCTATGACCTGTAATTCATTACTGAAGGGACATCAGTTTTCTTTTCTAGACAGTCGGGGTTCAACCCTCTCAGCTCTTCCATTTCTCAGACTCTGTTTAACCCGTTCTCCTCCTTTCTGCTCCCACGAGCATGGTCTTTGGGGACAGACCAGGATTGAATCCAACTCTGCTCTTTCATTCTGTGTGACCTGGAGTAATCTGTTCAACCTTCCTGAACTTCAGTCTCCTTATTTATAATCTGAAGATAATAATGCCTACCTTCCAAGGTTGTTGTGAAATTTAGAACACCTAGAGTGTCATTGTAGGCACCTAATAAATATTTTCTCTCTTTTACTTCCCCTCTTGATCATCGCTCATCTGCTCCCTTTTTGCAACCCTCCTAAAATCTGTGCATATTCCCTTTTTAATATTCTCATTTTACTTTTCTCTTCATTTTCTAAACTTCCTGTCTTCCTTCTGGTTTTCTTCTTTTTGTTATTTTCAAGCCACTCAAGTAGAATGAAGAAGCCGAGTAAGGGGCTGATAACCACAGCCCCATGATACGGGATGTCTAGACAGTAGTGAAGTCCTATGCTGGGACTTTTTCCACGAGTGCACCGTATTTCACCGCTTGTGGAAAGGGCTTACATCAAGTGGCCATCAGTGCTGGCATGAGCAGTCTCTCTTTTACAAATGAGTAAGAGGTTCTGAGAAGTTATGTCATTTGCCCAGGCTCTTGAAGCTACTGATGTGGCAGAGCTGGGA